GATAGCCCAGCACAGCCAAGGGAGTGTTTCCATGGGAAGTAAGATTTTCGGCATGTTGAGACACTAGTGTAAGGACATCCTCTGCTCCTAGCCAACGAGGACAAGGGTAGATCATGCAAATGTCTTTAAAGTGTTAACTACGCAAGATCAAAAGGACAGTCCCTGCCTTCTCTTTGGCCGTGTTCTAGCCAACGATAGGACAAGAAGAAATGGCCATAAACTGAAGCACCAAAAGTCCCACAGGAACTTCAGGAAAAATTTCTTGATAGAGAGGGTGACAGAGCACTGGCAGAGGTTGCCAAGAGAGGTTGTGGAGTCTCCTTCTCTGGAGATCTTCAAAACCCTCTTGGATGCAGCCCTGTGCCACGCACGCTAGGTGACCCCGTGTGTGCAGGGGGTTGTGCTAGATGATCTCTAGAGGTTCCTTCCAACTTTAATGATCCTATGATCCTATGCCTCCAAGCTTCCTCACAGCTATTGCCTGTATTTTTGCAATTCTTCCTCCTCTTCCTTTGTATTCAAGTCAGGAAGTGTAGGAAATTGCTGATTTGAGGCGGCCCATTTTCATACAGCAACTCAGCTTCACTGGAGGAGAGCTGTTCTCTGTCATATTCCTCTTCAAAATGCTTTCTGCTTTGTGTCATATTCATGGATGACTTCATGTTGCACTTCATGGAAAACTTCTGACACCCTCTCCTGCACGTGATTCTGACATCCTCTCCTGCTCTGCTGTTTCCATAAAGCCTACCATCTTCTTCCTTCTGTGTCTCTTCTATGTCACTCCATTTTCAAACCACTGGAAGAGATACTCTTATCTGCTAATCTGTAATGATCAAACCTTTATGGCAAAGAGACTTAACAGAGAAGGCTTTGAGGGAAGCCAGGGTGGTAATTCTGCCCCTTCCCAGATATTCTGAACGTTACAACTCCCCATGAACTACACTCGCACATGGTCCTCTAGCTTCGAAGCAGCAGCGGGTCACTATATATATATGTCAGGCATATGGAGGGAGCAGCACAGCCTGGGAAGCTGGAATTTGCACTGCTGCAGGCACATGCACGGGAAGCAATTCATGACTTGCCTTGGACAGGTCACGGATGGCATCTATCTAGCTGCTGGCAAAAAGAAACCAGCTCCGGTGACCTTTTGGTGCTCTCGGTCATCTAATCAATGGAGCAGCAGCACCCGCATCCCCAAGGGACAGCAGCACATTTTTACCTCCCTGGGCCTCTGCAGGTATCTGCACAAGTCAAGAGAGATTAGGCAGAGACTGATGGAGGTAGTGGCAGCAGAAAGCCAGGCACAGAGACAAATGAGGACACAACAAAGTTTCCAGAAGAAATCTTTACAAGCCTGTCAAAAGCAGCCTTTAGGCCTGAGTCACATAGGGCAAGAAGAAAACATACACTGGAATGCTTGAAACAGCTGAATTTGCCTAGCAATTTAAATGTAAAAGATTTGTCAAGTATCACTTTCCAAATATCTTTTTTTTTTTAAATAAAAAAGGCTTTTTGACCCTCATGCATGAGGTAGAGCTACATGCTATAACACTATCCATCACTCAATACGGAAACTCTTCAGAGCTCAAGGTATGATTTGCTAAGAGGAAAGACATTTTCCAAGCACTGTTATACAAATGCAATGAGAGCCTGATGGGCAGGCACAGTGGTAGATGGAAAACCTGTTATGACAAGCAAGTCCTTACTTTACATTGACCAGAGTTGATTGCTACTTTCAATTTGTCAAAACTGAAGCCAGGGTGGCAACTGCTAGAAAACAGAGGTCCTCTTCACTTAGACGTGGCCTTGCTAAGCTGAAAGAACAACAAGAAACAGCCAGAGCTAAAATACAGGCAAGCATGGTTTATGCCTTGGTCACAAATGAACCATATCCTATCCAGCTGTTTCTGATAAAGTATAACTTGCCTTTTAATGCTGAAAATTTCTTCTGTCACAGCGAGATGGATGAAGATCTCGGATTACTTGTGGGGAAACCAAAGCAGAGAAATGATACCAAGTAACATTCCTCCAACACCAACCCTTATGTGAGAGACCTTGCTTATGCCTCTTCCCATTTTCATGATCATGGGCTCGTATTATGTTTCTTATTAAACAACCCCTGTTTCACATTTTAGTGATCAATTGCCTAACTAGGCATATGGAAGACTATGAATCCCTTATTTAAAATGCTTTAATACCAATATAGCTTTATAGCTTTGCAAGAAAAAATGAAGTAAAATAAAATATGCCTATTAAAACAACAAGAGCTGCTGCTTTTGAGGACCAGGTAACACACTCTTTTCATAGTGATTTGAAAAACAGAAGATAAAATGTTTACAATCATTGGGAGCCAGGAAAAGAGTGCTTCCAATAAAGTATAATTTTTATATATGTTCTCTCTCTTAGCTCTGTAGCTCCGTGGACATTACTCACAGAAAATAAATTTATTCATAAAAAAAAATGTTTCCATGGCAATCTTCAACAACAGGCAGAGAGCATAGGAACTTTATTATGTATAACTTATCTTTTTTTAGTTCTCTCTGTGGTAATTTCTTTTTCCCCTCATAAGCGCTAGTATGTAGTATCTCACACTACAACCAAGAGCAGCGCAATCAGGTCTAACATCAAAAGCTCTTCTAAGAGCTGGGTAGCACGAGACGGGAGCACTACATTCGCAGAAAAGGGGTCTTTGGTCATAACACCACCAGCCTGCTATGCATTTTGGTAGGTGGTCTCCTCTACGGACCATGCTAACTCCTCACAAGGTCCTGGCTTTCATGAGGAGGTTGGACTCCGTTCCTTGCAGGCACCCACTCAAACCCACATCAGGATGCACTGATTAGGTACCAAAATCAGAGACATATCCCAGCACAGACCCCAAAGCTTCCCTTACAGCTGCAGCCTTCGCTCTTACTCCAATAAAATGTACCAGACGAAACTGCTTGGTTCACTTGAGCAGCACCGGCATGCTAGGTTCATATTCACTGGAGCCCCACCAAAGGTCATGCATTGGAAAGGGATAGCAGGAAAAGTCTGAGCATGCTACAGGTGCTTTTGTTCTTTCACTTTTCTGAAAATAGCCCAACTGGAATGGAAATAGTGTGAAGTCTACTACTTTGCAAGCTGAAGAGTACTCGGGATAATCCGAGTGAAGGCCAGTACACACGGGGATGTTCGGTAGTGTCCCTCGCTGCCAGGTAAGCACCAACATAGCTATCCACATCCATCTCCTTCCATGTGATATTGACCTATCATTGGCTTCAGACCAGTATCTAGTGCTAGATACTCCTCCAAAGCCTTGAAGCGTAAAACAATATACAAATCCTCAGGCCATCAACATATTATACAAGTTGGTTATACAAGGTTATACAAGACGACAGCCCAGTTTTTAAGCCACAGCTATTATCACTCTGTTGCGAGAAGGTTTGTCACAACTCCTGCTTTGCTTAAGAGATTACGTCCTCGTGAAGGATGAGTGCTGTACATTCACAACCTCCATTTTCCTGCACACTGGCTAACAAATAACTCACTATAGCAGAGGGGCAAAGCAGTTGAACGCGTTATGTCTGTCGAAGTACATGAAGACGTAGTAGCGTTCTCCTGCTCATTAGTTTAAAAAGATATGGTGCGTTCCAAGACATTGGAAAGTGAGGCATGTTTTAATTAGCATGACACTTATAGGTAACACATGCCTACAAAAACAGGCACGCAGTTTTACACCTCATTAAAAACGTGAAAAATACAAAAAAAATTGAAAGAACAAATACAAAGGACCAGATGTGAGTGCCACATCAGAACTACACCTGGTGTCAATTTAACCTAACCACGCGGCTTCCCTCAGCCCTGCATATGCCTCTAAAATTCTAATGGTCCGTATGAAAAGCAGCACATTGCTGACATGCACTGTTAGTGATGTCCTTAAAACTGCTGAATGTAAACTTGAAAGCAGATTATCTCAAGAGGATAAGCAACTGCCACATGTGCATCAATTCAGCTCATTGCAGAGCATGTTGTAAGCCACAGCTGAAAAATATTAAAACAATCTTCTTGGAAGACAGACTGCAGTAAGCAAAAGCTCTCTTGGCTATTAAAGGCTGTTCTGCTTACTCCAAGCAAGCAATGTAGAACGACCACGGGTTGGAGGGAAGTGTGGGGCTTTACAGCGAGTGCCTGCTGCGAGACTGGTTATTCTCCAGACAAAAAAGTCTTTTAGCAGGTGAGCCCAACAAGCTGAGCAGGTGATTGCATATCAGCTTTTTGGCATCTCTTCTGCCCTATTTTTAAATGCTTAAATGCACCATAATATGTACTAGGGAACTTTGTGCTGATGAAGCAACAAATCCAGTTCAGCTTCCCGCAAAGTCCTTACTAATGTCATTGGAATCGCAGCAGCGTCCTTCAAAACGTTTCCTGAAATGTCTTATGTTCACACAAGCATATGTTTAGTAGCTTCACTTTAAAATAAGCACCTGAATACAGCCTTCTCTGAAAAGAATAGCATCAAAGCAGTGAAAGTAAATACAGAAAAGCAAGGCAGTGTCAAAATTAAGGCTGCAGAAACACCAAATTTCACCCCTCAGTGCATATAATTGACAGCTGCAAAATAATGCATTACCATCCAGGTGTTAATCAACAGCACCGTGGGAGAAAGTCGCTCTACAGATTTACAGTAAGGACTTCTCAAAAGCTTTTCCCAGGTATAGCTAGAATTTAAAAATATATTGAGGAAAAAAAAACTCAACAAGAAAACTACTAACTAAATACTTCCAGTGAGCAAACAAACACATCTATAGGAATCCAGCCCATGTAGTGCTGCCAGAGGAGCATAAACCAACAGACCAATCTGCAAAGCAAAACTCTGTGGCTTTACCCGATGAGCCACTGAGAGCCATGAAGTGGTTTTTACTGTATCTGGAACCTCATAGCACACGGTAGGGGAAAAAGGGAAGTAACTGAAAGATCAGCGACTCCATTGGCATCTGGACTAAGTAAGCTCCTACCTCATATGGTTGGGAAGAAAGTTGGAAAGTGACCTCTGAGAGCAGAATCAGAAGGCAAGGGTGGAGATTCAAGAACCACGTATGAGTAAGCACCGAATTTTCAACAGTTAAGCCAGTAGTGCTATGTGGGGAAGCCTCGATCTTGAGATCTGAACGCACGCGGTTGACAACGGCCAAGCCCGACGCAGGAGTCCACACCAGCCCCCGGTTTCTCAGCAGGACAGCGGCGATGCTGCAGGGGTGGCACGGCCACTGAGAGCAAGTGCCCAGGCAAAGCGTCACCCGCCACAGCACACACGGCCTTGGGCACCGGGAGAAGTTTCCATGGCCTGAGCCCACTGGTGGAAGAAGCAGCCGAGAGAGCGGCGCGTGCAGCTTGGCAAACCGCCCGCAGGAGAGAAGGGCCCACGCAGGTCGCAGGGACTTCCAGCTCCCTGTGCCCACGTATCCCACCCCGGCGCTTCCCCCAGGCTCGGAAATACTCATTTCCCTCCCGGTGCGCGCACGCCTCCTTATTTGCAGGAAGGTGCTCTGAAAGCAGGCCTTTCTGGGGAAAAAGCCACTTCTCATGTTAATCATTTTACCCTCATAAAAGAGGCTGGTAAACCGTATTTTTAGCATCTGCTTCCACTAAATAGCTAGCATTGTTAAAGAAAACCACTCGACCACCTGTAACTAAAAACGCACCTATTCTGAGCTCGACAATAATGCTAAAGAAATGGGTAAACACATATCTCTGTGGATGAGAAATCAAATGATTCAGTTTGCCATGACTATATTTGTAGTGACAAAGCTTATCCCTAGGAGAACTTAAATGTAACCTCAGTTCAAGTATGTCTGTGCAAACTCTGGCCTTAGAGCATCCTCCACCCTTAATATACTGTCTTTCTGTAATCCTATATGGGGTTATCCAGGCATTTCATCACGGGTTCCCAGCAAAAAACGCTATATATTCTACAGATAGAACATGATACATGCCCACAATATACTGATAGGAACAAAATTTCATCTGTCTAGAGTCACAGAGAGCACCATCTTGCAGTGTCAACTTCTGCCAGATTTCCATTACCCAGTAATTGACCATTCGGAGGCCTAAGCACAAGGTTTGAAACAACCTGAGAATATATTGTGCACAGGCTCCAAAAATTAGCTGAATAACAATACAGCAAACACAGCGGGGTTTCATAGCCACAATTTAAATCTAAATTGGCTCGTTCCTTGCACAGAAACTGTTTCCTTTGGATTAGCAATAAAAACTGCCTGAACTGATCTTACAAATCAGCTTTTCACCCCAAAATGTCAGATTATAGGCTGTGATATTTTTATTCAAAAGCAATGAGGAAAAAAAAATCTGCTCAACATTCTCCTATGCTCAGCTAAAATGCATTTAATTGCATCAAGCATTACCAAACATCTTTCAAGCTCAGAAAGTAATAACATGCCTGGCATTATGGCAACATAACCCACAAGAAGTACTGTAAAAGATGTGATTGGACATTTACAGTTAAGTCTCAGAATCTCTCCTTAGCTCACCCTCTTGTGCTTAGGTACTTGTAAGAGCTGTTGGTTCAAATCCCACACAATTTACTCAAAATGTATAATCCACCAAATTGCCCTTGAAGCAGCTGGTAAAGTAACTAGCATTTGGCCCCTAATATATAGCAGCATCTCATGCTCTCTTGAAGATCTCTTTAGCTTCTAGCAATTTCAGGGTGAGGTAATGGCAGATTTTTGGCATTTGCTCTGCAGTGCCTCGATTCTGTACAACTCATTGTGTCAGTGCAATGGATCTGCGCCTAGCTGGGGACTCATTAATCCACAGATTTCATTTCTAAATACACAGTTTTCTGAAACAATAATACGTATTAACTCCTCCGGAGTTGCTGAAGCCTGATGCACATCAGAACCCCTTTGGGCAGTGCTCGCTGAAGGCAGAGACTTTGATGACCATAATGGTCTGGATTGTGCCAATGCACACATCAGACATCAGTAGGCCAGACCCCTACTTTACACTATCTCATCGAAATGTAGGTGGCACCTGTGCTCAACAACCACTTTGGCAAGACAGAAATCAAATGTCTTTTTTTTTTTTTCCAAAATACACGCAGGCACTAATCCCAGAATAATAGGCTCATAAAACATCAGCTTAGAAAAATGCAGTGAGTGTGGTGATCCAGCGCGCTGTCCACAGGAGAAGATTTTGTTTGCACGTCCTGCTCCGCTTGAACACCACTTGCAAGCGCGTCAGGAACACGCTCCCCCGGATTAACTTCTCCTCTTCAAACGGAGGCACCCAAGAGGACGCGGCACACTTCTGGCTCCCGACAATGTGCGAGCCATGAGGTCCTGCAGCGCCAGGCACTCCAGTGCCGGGCCTGCCTAACCTCCGCGTGAGCACCGTGGTGTCGCTCCGGGGGGTTCTCCCTCTCCAAGGGACAGGCTGAAGGACGGAGGTGGGTAGGGAGGGGGTAGAAGGTAACCGTCACCTCAAAGTCCTGGCGTGTGTCTCAAGCAGCTCTGTTAATGTGGCCCAACGCTCACCAGGACTTCTCAGGAGGCACCAATACGGCTGTACCAAGGGACATGGTGGCCCTCTCTGTGTTACAGTGCCCCTATGGGAAGGACTCTGCCACGGCAATAAACTGTTCACTGTGCAAAAGTATCCTTCTCTTCCCCTCAAATCTATTCGCGTGACCTGATGCTACCGCTCCCCACCTCTGCACCACCTCCCTCCCATGCTGGCCCAGCCTCCCCTCGAGCAGAGTCTTGTGCTCTGCGACAGGGGAGCCCGGGAAAGCAGATGTTTTTCTTCTCTTCCTCATATTACACTCAGCCACCTGCAGTGGCCTTCATGCAGGCAGCGCCGCCTGCAGCAGGGAGGCACATCCAGTTTGGGCACGTCTCACTGCTTCTGGCTAGAGGCCACACGTGAAGCTCCGCAAGGGAATATACCCAAAAGAGCCCAGCATGTCCCCCAGCTCCCCGTGCAGGCTCACGTGCATAGAGGACATTGCAGCTCTCTGAGGAGAGGTGGGATCTGGGTTGGTAGGACCCCATGTGAAACAACTGTCGCCTCCAACTCCTCAATTCTGACATCTCAGCGTGAGGTGCTAACATGAAATAGGTGCATTTTCTGGGAGGGTGGATCTTTCATTAGCAAATTAGAAACTAGGTGCCTGTCAAAATCAGCAGCGAGAATTTCCTTCGAAACCTGGTACAAGATGAGAGGCCACCCTACTTGTCCAGGAGCAAGCACACCAGGGCTTGGTAGCAACCAAGTGCAACTCTCCTAGTGTTTCTACTTGTCATTTTGTCAGAATTATCTGCATTCAAAAATTAGTGGGCCTGGGAGCCGAGACAGGGGCGTGTGGTGACTCTTTTTTTATTTTTTCCTCTTAGCAGGCTGGGATAAATGTAGCAACCCAAAAAAATGGAGGTGGGAAGGACACGTGTGTGCATGTGCCTTTTATCAACTAGAGGATCATTGGATGTATCTGTTACCAAGATACCGAGAAGCGCATGCTTGGTAACAGAAGAGAACAAAAAAAAAAAAATTCTTTGCATTCCTATATGATAATAATCACTCGCCTTACCATTTTTCTCGTAATGAAATTCAGAGTCCTACATTAAATTTCACTTCAAAACAAATGTACCAGGAAAAAAAAAAATCGCAGGAGTAGTGCGGGACTGTGCGCTACCAAGATGCAGTCACAACAACGGCGCGCTTACAGTGCCGTTAAACCCCCAGGAAATTACTCCACGCTTAGCCCGACTGCTCCGAGGAGCTTTCGGCGGCAGCGAGGCGTCCCGCCACACACGGACCTCCGCTAGCCCTTTGATAAAACGCGGGTCCGATAGCTCAAACAAAACCAGCCGAACTCTTCATCAAGGGGCCCAAGTGCCTTGTCCTTGCTCTGTTTGCTGCCAGGCTAAACCCCAACTACTCTCCGCAGCGTTGCGACACATCCCGACGCATGGGTGAAGGCTCCGCTAAAAGATTCCGGACACCCAGCAAAAAGCAGAGACTTTTCCCAAGGGCTACCGAACAAAACGCGGTGCACTCTGCCTGCAGCAGCGTCCAGCACGCGGTCCCACGTCCCTCGCCAAGCAGCAGCCAGGGCTCCTAACCCCAAACGTGGCCTGCCGAAACCGGCCACCTCGCACCCCTCCCCAGCACCCTGGGTCATCGCAACTGGCGGGGAATGCCTGCAAGGATTTCCGACACGGAGACACAGGGACTGCTCCCGAGCAAGAGAAGGCTGGTGGTCTGCAACGCACTTCTGACAAAAAGAGGGGGGAACAAAAAAAAGGGAGAAGAAAAAACATAAAAGGGAAAAAAAAGGGGGAAAGGAAGGAGAAAAAAGGGGGGGAATA